AACTTTCATATTTTTCACATGTTATTGCACATGAAGGCACCATATAATTTAAAAATCGAAAATAAATTGAGAAAATTTTCAACTCGGACAGGACTTGAACCGGCATGATTGAACTACTGAGTCCTACACCTCATCGTCGAATTTTCTTAACTTATTGATACATGCACCTCTCGCCCAATGTAATTTCAACCTTAACATTTGCGTATTAAGATATTTTTTAAATATTATGTTTTTAATGTGAAATTAATTAATCTACGAACACAGTATAATGATAAAACTCAATGCTTCAATCATTATCACAAAATGTATGTAGAAAGCGAAGGTTCAGAAACCTTTGTTTTCTAATTCTAGAAAATCATAATAAATTACAAAATAATCACTACATACATTTAAATTCGCACCTTATTACAAACGATATAAGATTGAAAACGTTTTGAGTGCCGGCTTTGTTATGATTTTTTTAAATTATGTATGTTTTTATTATAAATCACTTCAAAGGACGTAGTTTCCTGGATTTAAGTAAGTTAGTGGGATAATTCTAAGGGGATTACAGTAAACGCGATGACACAGCAGAACTTAGCAAAAGTCAACATAATCTCTGGATGACATACTCGAGCCTCTTGTGAATTTAGAGCTGACGAGTAAAGCGCTATGTGTAAGTGCAGTTACCGTTTCTAACATTACATAGTTAAAGAGGTACTCAGATTTTATAGGGCTTTAACATTTGATTCTATAATTAGTTGTTGTTAGTAACTAAAAATATGAAATACGAAATATTATTACTCGTTTGAAATACGCGTTTCCTGTAAGGTTAAAATGTTTAGTTAGGTAACGCGTAACGACAGGACTTGATAAAACAAAGACACACATACTAGCAGAATACATTTGCCTATTAATAAAAAAAAAATACGTTGGCACTAATACCCCAACTCTGTTATGCTTTTGTTGTCTTTCTTTAGTCCAACTTAGTTTAAATTATCGTGCTCTCGACTGGCAATAACGATCTGACATAGAATAACGTATTAATAATTACGTAAGCAATGAGGAAAAGCAAAAAAAGGATTATTTCAATAATAATGTCTATAGTTTACGCGAGTAGTACACATTTAAATAAAAGACTTTAACGGTTTAAAACGCGATATATTAGTTAAACTTATTTGAAAATGATTTTTAACTTCGGCCCGACGTTTCGGATGCTTTGCAGCAGCCGTGGTCACAGGGAGACTGGAAACGGGGGGGGGGGGGGACGAAGTTAAAAATCATTTTCAAATAACTAATATATCGCGTTTTAAACCGTTAGTCTTTTATTTAAATATTTCAATAATATTATAGAAATGGATGTATAGATAGACGAGGAAAATAGGAAGTTATTTATGTATGAATGAAATTGTGAAGAAAATGCCTGTATCATTGCGTGACCACACAGAATCAAGGGTGGATTGAAGTTTCAATATCAACAATCAGTGATGACCTTGACGAAGCGTTCCATCAATCATGCTTCCATCAGGGGCGTTATTAAGTGTAACTTAGTTTTGTTTGATTGGATTTGCAACATTATATATATAGTTTTGCCGATTTTAAGTTCCCTTTTAACTGTCATTTGTATTCTTAGAACATTTAATAGAATAAATACAAATTAAAAATTGATTATTTATGGAGCAGTTCTGAAAGCTTATGAGGCCATATAGGACCTGAAAGGTGTTGTTATATGGTGCTATTTATTTTCATTTAGTTCCAGGTTTTTTTTTTCAAAGTTTATAATACGAGTATGAAATATATAGACTACAGCCCTGAAGCGTATTGCAATACGTTTTGTGAATAGTCGTATTGTTAGATGAATCATATTTACGTTTATTTAACCTATCTTGTGGTAAAAAATGGACGCCGATACAAATTGTTTGCGTTTGTTCGAAGGACTCGAGACGAAAAGAAAACCAATACCTACATGCAAAATACAGCAAACGAACAAGCAACTTAACAAAAAACTTACACTTACATCATATTATTATGTAAAATCTAAGACTATTTACTTACTTGAAAGATAAAGATATTGAATACTGAATAACTGATGTCGTGGTCACATCAAAATGTACCGGACTCGTATGTATGTATCCTTATACACTTGCAGTAATTATTAACTATTAAACACTACACATCCACTAAAGAATAACACATCTGTAGACATCACAATCAATCACTTAAACATTCGTAAACCCTTAGAACGCGTGACGACGTACATCAAGGTCAAGTTAATAATCGCAACTAAAAATACTACAAAATTAAAAAAGGACAACGCGGTTTTCGACTGTATCAGGTGAGGGGCGGTGGGGTGTCCACCGCCATTTTGTCCGCATTTACGGAACTAGCTTTTCGGAGCGTACGGCGGCTAATACGAAAACTCTAAACGAAACGTAGTGTTACCCTTTTGTTTTTTATAACGAGTGTTGATAAAAAAACAGATGTACAATTTAATAAGATAGGTACTATGTTTTTTTCACCAAATTTGATTAAGAAAAAACTTTTTTTTTTAACATTTCTAGGTAAAATTATGATATTCCATTAGTTTTAAAGATAAGGCCTTATTTAATATTACCTCTCACGTTATCTCTTCAAACTCTTAAGTCTTGACCAAGGAGTCCGACTTAGGGAAAACTTTTGTAGATTAGTGATAAAATGTTTCCTACTTACCTACGTAAGATACGAATCTTAAGATTAGCTTTATTATTTTTGTTGACAAACTTGATTTTACTTAAAGTTATTTTTATTTTTTCCTATAAAAGAGGAGAGACAAACATGTGCAACAAGATGTGCTAGTATCTGCTTTTGGCTTTGGACACGAAGAGCAGACAGATCCACAGACTAAAAAACGCGAACGGCTTTTTTATCTGTATACTATGGTTCGCAACCCGAACGGAAATAAGGTATTTTTCCATCGGGATTCAACTTAGATGTTTTAAAATATTCTTTAGAACTACACATCGCTACCTCTTGAACAAATGGCCCATCAAAATAGTATATAACAACAAGCAAAATGATTTAGTAGAATAATTAGTTTTCCAATATTCAAATAGCCGTAAGCTAACTAAGAGATTATGAACCGTAAGCCACAAATTGGCTTCATATTGCTCTATTTCTAGAATTGTATAATCTACATTAGGAATAGGCTTTTACAACCGAGTTTCCAATGATTATAATGGTTGGTTTTGTTTTACCATTCGAATGCTAGATTAAACAGTTTAATGCTGATTTGCATACATGTGTTTTCAATACAAATGAGGTAACAACATTTTGAATTTGCTACGCACCAAAGTGATCCATTGGTAAATGTATGGTTAATAAGGATAATTAAGTGGGTTACTTTTTTTTATGATACAGGAGGACAGACAATGTTATATAGCTGGAGTACCCCAGGCTAAATAACATCTATACAAGATGCGCTTGGTTTTGGATATTCGGAAATCCGAAGATTGAAACCGAAACGCGATTAAGCTTCACTGCTTATTCAAAATTCGAGGTTGTTCGAAATTGTTATATTCCTTCTTTATGACCCATTTAATATTCAGATTTCCAGACAAAGTCCAACATGTTTATGAAAAGTATGACTCGTTGGCATTGAAAAAGTATGACCACGACCATACATATGGCGACCATCGGACCAACGAGTCAGTCATATCGTTCTAGAAGAATTTTTGTAAAATCTGACGATTTGGAAGAACGTCACGAACTGCCGAACACAGATGAAATTTCAGTCTGAATTTTCGAATATACAAAGCCTATTTAGCGTATTTAGATTTATATTTAAGGGTAGTGCTCCAAGGTAACTCCAAGGTAGTCTGAACACGTCTATCATAAACGAAACACGAATATGTGTTTTAAAAAATTCAATATTTTTGACATGCTATTGCACAATACAAATTAAAAAATCGATTATATATTTTTTTTAAATACGATACGGGCAGCATTTGAGCCGGCATCTACCCCGTTCCGCTGAGAACACAGTAGCTCAATTGGTTAAAGCAACAGCACGGAACACTGCCGATGCCGGTTCAAGTCCTGCCCGTGTCATAATTTTTTTTTTCAAATCATTATCGATATTTTATTTATACATCGGTATGGTATGGTATATACCATATAATGTGGTTACATAAGAATGTCTTGTCCTTATTCAAGCCTCTTATAATTATTATTGGTCGATAGCAAAGTTCGATTAGAAGATACAAAGCAACTCTATAAGCAAATGTATTCTCATTAACAAACAAACTCGCTGGTTAGAGCTAGTTATTCACATCTATGCGATCAGAATTTAAACCTCAAATGAAACGATTAAGGTTCATTTTTGTCTGTATGAATGAATTTGGTTTTTCCTCTGTTCTGAATGGAAAGCAATTGAATATTCACATCCCAGTGGGTCGTCCATTTGATCACTTGTAGAGTGGATTTCGTCTTTCGAACTCATGCTAAAACGCTGAGAGCTGAGCTCAGATTGGGTCATCAAATTGATCGGAGCCCACTCAAAGTTTACCAATGCTGTTATTGGTATACTATAACTAAACATGTATTATTATGTATGTGTATAAATGGCTAATTATTTTTTAAATCTAAAATAAAACAATTGTTGTGATTTAAAACGCGATATGTATTACTTACACTTATTTGAATTATTTAAACTACGGCCTAACGTTTTGGATGCTTTGCAGCAGCCGTGGTAACGGGGAGACTAAAGATGGAGGGTGTCTCTGACGTCAAAGTAATAAACTGCTACGCTAGTGCCATCTGTTCCGTCGAAGTTGCTGTTTGGCAAACTGGCCGGGTCCTCGCATAGTTAAAAAAAAAATTTCAATAAACTTATCTAATATATATCGCGGTTTAAACGGTTAAAGTCTTTAAATAGTTTTAAAAGGGTAATTGGTGAGATTCATTTTACTGGAAGTGGAGAGTACTCACGTGTTGTTGGCGGAGGAGAGCCTCCTATGCAGGCTGCGCAGCGACATGGCGTACCCCTAGCAGGGCGGGCTGCCACTTCCCTTGCCGCGCGGCCGACGGAGTGCGCGCGCACCGAAGAACGCGCCTTCCTCGTTGCAGGACTGCGACCGCTGCGCTAACATGCCGGCCGCGCGGCCCAACGCGTGCAAGGGTCGCACGCGCGCGCGCCTTCCCCACCCACACCCTACCAACTCAATCTTGGCCACTTCACAGACACACTCAGTTAACACCCCACACTAAATATTCGATATTAAATTCATACGCGCTACAATTTAGGCACCCGAAACTGTCTTGGCTTGGCACTTGTGAAACTACGCTAAGTGATATAATTGAAGGCGCTTAGGAGATCAGTACGAAATCGCGGTGAGTTGCCGGCTCTGAAACAATACAGAATCGGTTAAGGTAAAATATTTGAACATACTAACTAACTGTAATACATTCAATAAAACACTTTTAACACACGAACAAACTACTTCATTTAACAATGACCCGACACTAACCGATACGTGTCGGGTCACGATGATCATACATGGAATAGTCGAGTCATTTATGCTCTTTCAAACCGTTAAATCGATTTATTTACCTTGCAACACCGCTTATACTATGAATTATATTTTTGTCAAAATTGTGTTGAAATTTTTGAAATCTTGGACACCGTTTGATAAATAAATATAAAACCTACATAAGTACATAAAAGTAGTGAATTGTGTAGTGTAAGGTGCAGGACGCGGAGCGGAGAGGGAGAAGGTGCGATATAGCGCGCTGCGTCGGCGCCTGCTCAGTGACCATGATAATGCTGGATAAACAATAACATGACAAAATCTCATAACTTCGTGAGTTTTCATTTTTTTTTTAATTTCGATTTTTTATCCTGATTCTTCGAATAAAGAGACGTTTGGCGTGTTTCAGCTTTAGTATCAACAAAGAATAACCTTGTATAAAGCAATGTGTATGAGTGAAGTTTTTCAGGCTTAATTTGAACTGTTCCAATATGAAAGCTGCGTGTTTACGTATACATAATTAATTGGGGAACGTCTTTCAGGGTCAAGAAATAATTTCAGAGGTCTAAATATAGATGAAGTTTTCTTTCTGATCGATCGGTGTTCTTGTCTTTTATAAGCCAACAATACTTATAAGTTATAGACACAACTATGATTGATATATTTACAAGCAAAACTTCCCTTTTTAGAAAATTCTATATCAAAGAATGTAATAAAATGCGAAAAGAATCCGTGTTATGTTTTCAATGTCTTACCGCCTTCGTTGCAAATTTATTACAAGCAGGTGACATCATTTTTAAATTAAACAGTTTTAACGGTTTAAAACAGAAATATCCTTACTTATTTTTAGTTTATTTCACTGCGGCGAGATGGCGGTAGCGTAGCAGATTTAACTTTGACTTTATTGACATCCTCCATCTGTGCCCCGTGACCACGGCTGTTGCGTGCCTCTCGCACAATGTAATTCCAACCGTCACTCTTGGGCATTATGTTTAAAGCAACAGCACTGAACGCTATCGATGCTGGTTCTAGTCCTGCCCGAGTCGTAATTTTTTTCAATTCATAATGGATTTTTAATTTAGGCGCTAAACATGATGCATATTTATGTAGATTGTTAATTACTGCTTAGTTGGTATATACATTTTTTTTTGGTCATCGACTAAAACTCATACGTTTTTGAAGTAAGCCGTGTGATGTTTTATGTGAAAACGTGTAATGTGAAAGTAACAAATTCAATAAAGTGTAATCTCTGATCTGAGATTTTCCTCAAATAGATGAAGACTTTTGGCTTTTATTGGCTTCGTGCAGATAATCGTGGGATATGTCTCTTTGGACATAATATTTTTAAAATGCTATTCGTTTAGCGTTTGTTCGGCATTGCAGTACAGGAAACTATGCACAACACAAACACATATCTTTGTCTGTTTAATAAACAGACTAGTGACTGACATTATTCATTACTTTTTCCTAGTTATCGATCTAGAATTATCTGTCATTTTTAACAGCTTAAAACGCGAATCTCATTAGTTTACAATTGACTAATTTACTTCAACTAGGGCCCGACGTTTCAGAGGTTAAGCAGCAGCCGTGGTCGCTAGCGCCATCTGTTTTGTCTTAGTTGGTATTTGGATAAACTCGCTGGTTTCATACAAAGTGACTGACAGTGATCTCTTGTTTACCAGAATGCTTGTTTGATATCTTGAGGACGTCATCCATATTAAAATGTAGGTGTTTCTTGACTTCAATTGCTTGCAAGAAAACAAACAAACAAAGCCTAAATCTAACTTATCAATGTAATTTTTAAAAATCGAATTTATATTAAACTAGAAACTTCGGTTTTTTGTTTTTTGAAAATGTCACTGACGAGAAACAATCGCCAATAAGCTTAAGTAAGAAATGTAACTCGTTTGCTCAATCTCAATGAAAAACAGATTTGTTCAGTTATGAATACGTACCGCAAAGTTTGCGTTTCATTTTACATACCGCATTGTGCTAAACTCGAGCTCTTTGTAAAACTAACTCCTTCAGCCTGAAGAGCTCGCAATTTTTAAAATGTATACTGAAATATTTTAATGAAACTTTCTATGGTATGAATTTTTATTGCTGTAGCCGCACTTGTGACTTGTAGGGGCAGAAATCGAAAATCTGTGCAAGCCAGGTGTATTTATGAGAAACGTCACATACTCCGACGATTATATTTATAAAGTAAAAATACTTACTAGAATTGATAAAATCTCATCTAACATTGAATAAGCACGAGAGGTCATCCAACCATTTTAGACAATACTGTTTTAGCTTGACTTAATGATTAATTTATTTACTTTTAAGTTCAACCTGCCGTTTTACCAATGACGTAATAGTACATTATGATATAAGTGCGGTAAGTTGAAAATTACAGCTGAGGCGATATTACTATTTTTTAAGAAAGCAGAGGCTGTAATTTTCAAAGCGCACGTATGTCATCCGATGTTTTATAACATATTTACGAGGAAATTAATAAATTCATCACTACTTGACGACATTTTCATATAAAAACAATACAGCGAAAAGAAAAAGCGCGCGGAATTATTTTTACTTGTCCACAAATAAGCGATGCGCGCGCATCAACGTTTTTTTTAGGCAAAGGTTTTTGTACCTTTGCCTAGCACAGCCAGTATTACTTTTTTTTTCCGTTTCATAATATGCGATCAGTCATCATAACTATAAGCAATTGTGATGAAGATATCGTGCAGGTCAAGGGGTACCGCCAGCGCAGTATCTTCCCTTAATTTGTTTTAGCCTGTTGCTTTCTTAGTGGTCAAAGATGTCTCGTCGCTTCTTCAGGCGACGAATGCTTTCAGGGACTGTGAGCTGACCCGCAAGCTTATTCGGATGCTTTTGAAGTCGCTTTATGTATTTGTCGCCGTGGGTACTTATCTCATCTTTGACCATTGGCATGTTTAAATTTTCGTGGATTTCTCTTGTTTTGATAAACCACGGTGCATTTGTTATGTGCTTTAGAATATAGCTTTGCACTCTTTGTATTATGGTGATGTTGGAGCGACTGGCTGTACCCCATAACTGCATTCCATATGTCCATATTGGCTTTAGAATAATTTTGTTTATAAGTATCTTGTTGTCAATGCCCAACTTTGAGTTTCTACCTAGGAGCCAGTTGAGATTTCTGTTCGTGGTTTATCTCATCCCAAATATGTTTCTTCCAGGTTAGCCTGCGGTCCAAGTGCATCCCCAGGTATTTAACCGAGTCCTGGTGAGGGAGCTGGGTGCCATTTAATGTAACGGGCGGGCAGTCACCTTTACTTAGTGTGAAAGTTACGTGGACCGATTTGGTAACACTGGCAGCGATTCTCCATTTAGCTAGCCATATTTCAATTCCATTTAGGCTTCTTTGTAGGTTATGTGAAGCTTGGTTTGGATTCTTGCTTGAGGATAGCAATGCTATATCATCTGCGCGACAGCTACGTCAGGGCTTTGAGGTAGGTCGGATGTATATAGAGTGTACAAGACGGTCCCAGTACGGAGCCCTGTGGTACCCCCGCAAGTATATCGTAAAAACCAGACGTGGATCTTCTCCCTAACTTGGAAAATTCTGCCACTTATGTATGATTTCATTATCATGAAGTAAGTACCACACCCTTGTGCCACACTTTGTCAAAGGCTTGTTGTATGTCAAGAAATAGAAACGCTGACGAACAGTATTCCTTTTTTTCGAAACATTTCCTGATTGCCTTACAGACTCTATGGACTTGTTCAATAGTAGCATGTTCTTTCCTGGAACCAAACTGGTGGTCAGGAATAATGGATCTTTCATGGAGTTCAAGTGAAAGTCTCTGTAGTTAGGATCTCTCGAATAGTTTGGATATAGCAGGGAGCAGACTTATTGGGCGATATGAAGTAACTTCGTGAGCAGTTTTACCTGGTTTGTGGATCATCACGATTCGCGAGACCTTCCATACGTCTGGGAAGTGTCTAATTCTTAGGATGGCGTTGAACAGCATAGTAAGGTATGCAATAGCTTTGCGCGGTAGCTCTTGGAGGACCTTCTTGTCTATGAGGTCGAATCCTGGTGCCTTTTTGGTGTCCATTGATTTAATGTTTCTGTAAACTTCTTCAGGAGTTACTATTTTCAGCGGTAGAGCCAGTTGGAAGTCCTGCATGAGCACAGATTCAATTTCGGTTTCATCTGAGTTTGGATCTGGTTCATTTGGCGTGAAGATTCGGCTAAGATGATCTGCAAAGGCCTCGGCTTTATTTTTTTCCGTTCTGGCCCATTTACCATTAGGGGCGAGGATTGGAGGTTTTGGGCGCAATGGACGATCAAAGTTTGAAGGATTAGATCAAATTTCTCTGCTTGTTTTAATAATATCTGCTCTAGTGTGTTATTGGGTGACTGGTTAGTATGCGAATCTATTTCATTAATTGTGTTGTTAGATTTCAGAACATCGCTATATTTCATCTGTTTGTTTATACGTGTTTTTTCAACTTCAGGTAAGTTATTTTGAAGTATGGTTTTTTTAGGCGAGTCACTCTTGAGGTTTCCTCTTGTTTTAAGATGCAGGTCTTTTTTGGTTTTCCTTTCCAATATTTGTTTGTAGACTTCACAACCTCTGAAGTTAGCTGGATGAGCAGGCATAACGCACATTTCGCTGGAGTGTTGCGGTCTGTCTTTGGACATTCAGATGTTTTGTGTGATTGTGCACATTTTACACAGCGGTACGGCCTCATGCAATAGTTTTTAGAATGGCCATACTGTTGACACCTTTGACATTATACTATAGTTTCACGTTTTCTTGGATCCTCTATGATAACTGATTGATGGTAAATATACTTGACATTTTTGACTGCTTTATTGTTAGGACCCTGTAAAAGGTTGGCAAAAAATGTGTGAGTAGGTTTATTGTCTGGTCCGTATTTTGGCGTTTATGAATTCATCAACCACAGTGTTGCCTGTCCCTTCCAATGCTTCTCTAGTTATGAAGATGGGTGTTGTGTGGTGAAGGTTTCTAATTACAATTCTATCTGAACGATTTTCTTTTTTGTGAAATGTATGTCCAATGAGCCCATTTTCCCTACAATATCTATAATGCTTTTATATACTTCTGCATTGACACTGTTGATCCTCAGTTGGTTTTGGTTAACAATTTTGTAACTAAAGTCCGCTTTTGTAGCGACGTTTTCTAGCAGTTCTGTTAGCTTGTTTACGTCTTCGATGCCATAGAGAATAATAGGTGATGGTTTGGTAACTTTTTTAACAGTTTCCTTCACTATTTCCATGTTGTCTTCCTTTTGTTCGATGGGAAGGTCACTGAATTTGTTAGTGATGATTATTCTGTCTGGTGACGGTGAAGATACTTTTCTCCTTTTTGTTATTCTTAAGGTTGGTACTCTCTTTCAAGTTGGAGAATTGGAAACATCCGACTCCAAATAAATTATACGATTTTGAGTGGTAGTGTTAGGTGCCAAAGTGTGACTTTGGATATTTACTTCTGACATGGAGCTCAGTGATACACTTCTTGGCCTTGATATAAAGAGGCCAGGGTGGAATGCTTGCTGTATTAGCTTCTTGTTATTGTCTTTCAGACCAGTAGCATTTACTAATATCGAGGCCTGGTTACCCGCCCCTCTACAGTCTTCGGTAACTAATTTCTCACTTACAAGCTCGGGTAACCTGTAAGCGCCGGGTGCTAGCCGGAGAGCATGGCAAAATATTCTCATTATTTTTCATCTCATTGTTGGCTCATTTCATTACGGGGCTTGGCAGAGTTTACCACAGCACTTTCCCACTTTTAGAAGGGCATTTAATTCTTCTTGGCTTGTGCTAGCCAAAAGACGGATTACTTAACCGCCGCCCGTGGCTCGGCGTTGTGAAGGGTTGCTCAATTTGCACCACCCGGGCGGCACGTGTAGGGTACCAGTATTACTAATAAAGTAAATTAATATTTTTGTTACAGATAAATGGTTGTAATTTATTGTCAAAATATTCAACTGTCACTATTACATTATATTACAATGAAAGCTGAGATAATGTATGTCCATAAATCTATACTAATATATAATGCTTAAGAGTTGGTTTGTTTGTTTGAACGCGCTAATCTCAGGAACTACGAGTTCGAATTGAAAAATTATTCTTATTCTACGCGGACGAAGTCGCTGACATAGCTAGTGAATACATAAAGCTTTCGAAGTTTGTACATCATTATGTATGTAACATTAACATGGTCGCAGAAATTCTACTAAAAGACTAAGTTATATCGTAACTTAATATCAAATTTATCTAGAAATCAATTACAATATTTAAAAAAATATGCAGAAACAACAAACTATACAATAAAATTTTCTCGCTCATTTGTCAAATCGAATGCTTAACTTAAATTTTCATTATGTACGTCAGTATATTAATGAATCATTAAAAATTTAAATGACGTAGGCTTGCGTAACTCATAGCGATAAAGAACTTCAATGAAAGCCCGAGAGAAGTGATAACAACGGTAAGTTACATTTTTGTTAAAAAAAATCTTTTTCTAGATGCTTTGGTTTTGAGACTAGTAGCGTTACGTTTTTGTGAACAACCTAAGTATTGTCTGTGGTTTACTCAAGTAGTACACATTTAATATATAAAATGCGAAATAATCGATTTACGACCCGACGTTCCCGATGTCTACCAGATGTCGTGTCCGAAACTTTGTTTCATCGTTAAAATAATTAAATCAAAATATTCCGCGTTTAAAACCGTTAACAGTGTTTTATTTGACAGATAGATCTAATCTACCCATCAACTGAAACCCTTCGCACTTAACAAAATTAATAGTCGAGAAATGATCGTTAAGACGAGAGACGGAAATTATCTTCGGGGCGGTGTTCCGATACTTATAAGCTGGTTAATCAATTGTAATGGCTTCCACTTCCTCTAACCAGCGATGGGTTGATTCAGAGATATATCGAATGTATATGAATACAACTGTAACGGAATGTAGGTATCGATTCAATATGCTAGTATACATACATTCATGTTAAATACTGTCTGTATTTTACGTGAGTAGCCCACATTTAAATAAAACAATTTAACGGAATAAAACGCGAAATAATTTTGTTAACTTATTTACAATTTATTTCAATTTCGGCCCGACGTTTCGGTTGCTTTGCAGCAGCCGTGGTCGCGGGAAGACTAAGTGCTACAGTCTAGCAGTATTAATTTTTATTAGGGACACCCTCATCTTCTAGTCTTCACTTGACCACGGCTGCTGCAAAGCATCCAGAACGTCAGGCCGTAATTGAAATAAATTGTAAATAGCTTAACTTAATTATTTCGCGTTTTGAACCGTTAAAAGTGTTTTATTTGTTATACTATTAGTGTAAAGACTAACTGATCGAAGTAACTTCAAAGCTTATTTATTATATGTATTTTAATTGAAAATTTACGACACGGGCCAACCTTCTGGCACCCACAGCATTCGGTGGTGTTCCGTTAGCACGGTAGCAATAGCATGTAACACCGTGGATGCCGGTTCAAATCCTGGCGGTGCCGTAATTTTTTCTATAATAGATTTTTAATTTATATAGTGCGATCATGTGCAACATGTAAAAAATATTAAAGTTTTCAAATATATGTTGTTAATATTTACTCAATTCTAAGTTCAAAGAAGATCAACAGAGCGCAGCACTGTTCATAGTTGCATAGTAAATAATAGTTACTTGGTTCAATATCAACAATTTGCGCTACGGAGAGTCTGGTTTCGCTTGTTTGTTTGAGCTAGATCATTTCTATTGTATTTGTCCTAAATTACGATGTGTATAAATTATTTCAAACAGTCACAACATTATATATTTATTATATATATCATGAATTATAATTTTTAATACAAAAACGAAACCTGATTTTCTACTACTATTGCTTTATAACACTAGACATAGCTCTTAATACATCTCTTATTATTTTTAAATTACAGTGTAAACTCTATATAGCGACACTGCAGGGACTGTGCATTTTATGGCGTTATAGAGAGTTGTCGTTAAATGGAGAGAAGAAACATCAGAATTAGAAAAAGAAAAAGTTTATTTCTGACTATTGTTAGTAGTTAAAAAAGAATGTTATCTGAACGCTATTAAGTATAGCTGTCAATACACAGTGATTTTCTTTTAGTAGCCATGTTTACAGTTTGTAAGCAACTAAGAATATGATAAGGTATAGATAATCCATGACTCCTAGTTATGAGTCATGGTCAATAACAGTCTACATGTGCTGCTTGCACATGTAGACTGTTATTGATCCCAATTTGTAAACAAAAGAATAAATTTCTTAGAAAGTTCGGTATGCATGATGCCGACAGTCGAGTTTATTGCGGGCTAGGATAATAAAGCGACAATAGATCGTACACAGCTGCGCAGTTTTTACTAATTTTAGCAACTTAATTGTTGTCGTTATTGAGAGTGGGTATAATGCTATATAGAGTGAAACATTGTATGAAAAACAAGCTAAACCAACCAAAGCCAATTGATTTCGACGCTTAAGAGAAATTGTCGTTAAATAGAGTGACGTTACATGGAGTTTACACTGTATTTAAAGGGGAATCATTATGTCATACATAGTTTTTAGGCAACTTGAACCGTTTCCGCAGCGCTCGCAACGGAAACCTTCAAAGATAAATATTTTTCATTTCCCTCCGTTTCTTCGTTCCCATTGAACGTAGCGTGATGTTTTATAGCCTAAAACCTTAGGTACTCGATGAATGTTCCATTTAACAAAAACATGATTTTTCTATTCGAACCAGTATTTCTTGAGATTTCACGTTCAAACACACAAAAGTCTTTAAAATGTTACTATAGATATCGCCAACAATTATCTGACTCATAAAGTTGTATACGAACAAAATTAGCAATGTTCCATAACGTTCAAGGCATTATATTAGAGGTATAAAAACTGTGACCAGATCATTAGCAGATCGCACAAAAACATAACAATAGTGTGTGGGCGCCATTAATCTTGTAGGATAGGACTCGGACCCCACTCCGAATATATGTTGACGACCTTTTAATGTTAAGCCTTGGGGCGTAATCAAATGAATTGCTGATCTTTCAAATGCACTTCAAATTATATACTTGACTGTGTGTGAATCTTGACTTATAAAAAGGCTATTCAGATCTTACTTTTAAATAAAACACTTTAACGGTTAAAAACGCGATATATTAGTTAAAATTATTTGAAAATGATTTTTAACTTCGGCCCGACGTTTCGGATGCTTTGCAGCAGCCGTGGTCACGGGGAGACTAATTCTAATAAGTTTAACTAATATATCGTGTTTTAAAGCGTTAAAGTGTTTTATTTAAATGTGTACTACTCCCGTAAACTATAGACAGTATAGTTTTAAAACAAACAACAAATGCCGTGCAACACATACAAAAAAGGACGCAAAATGCGTAGGAAACAGGAATCTTTGATACAATTCAAAAAGAGAGAAAAAAAATGTGCATTGAAGTTAAGAATCAACAGTGTTTGTTCGTGATTAGCCTTTTCTAATGAAGAAAAAGTGCGTAAAATATACCTAATCATATAAATTGTTACGTTGAACATAAATTCAAAGAAAACTATGCTATACATTAACCGTAATATTATAAATTTAAACAATAATAAAACGAAATAAAGCTTTTTTTTAAATATACGATTCTTGATTAATATTAACAATAATTTAGATAACATAAGCGATACAAGAGCCCAATACCAATACTTTAATTATTAACTTTACAAAAATTTATGTTTAAATAAAAATAACAACTTAACTTGTAAAATGTAATTACAAAACCATTAGTACTGTGTCAACAAAAGTATATACGGAACATAAGTTTATTAACGTAGTTCGTCGTTATCATATTTCGCTGTCTCCCATGTCATACGATAGAAAAATTATGAGAAAAGTTATTTAATATTCCGCCCATGCCTCTAGTTGTGTTCGTGTACAGTAATTACAAGTCTAGAACTCTAGAGTATAACGTGGCTTCGTTCTTGACTCATTTTGCCGCCGCTATACTTTGTCGAGTGGCACAAATCATAATACTTGACTGTGCTCGGCTGCACATCTGTGATGTATTTTTATTCTGTGATCAACGCGTAATTTAGTATCTGTGGTATAACAAAAGTAGAGTTGAAAAGGTATTTAAGCTTTTTATACAGATACTAGCTGTGCCAGCGACTTCGTCCGCGAGAATCGTTATTTTCGGTATCCAAATTAGTTTTTGCAAACCCCGTCATCTTTATAAACTTAAGCTGTTAGCCACGACGTCAATCGCGTCGTTCTTGCGAGTTAATCTTAAAAGATAGACATAATATAGCGTCGCGCTTTTTTTTTTAGATCGTTTAAAGGGGAATAATTCTTTCATACATATTGTTTGGTTGTCTTGAACCGTTTTCGCAACGTACGCGTCTGAAACCCACAGAGATGAAAAATTTCCCCCGTTTTGTTCACATTTCCCGCAAATGCTCTGACGAACACAAAAAGATTTTTTCAATTCGAACCCGTAGTTCCTGAGATTAGCGCGTTCAAACAAACAAACTCTTCAGCTTTATATATCAGTATTTTAAACAGATAATATAAAACTCGGCGTTTGAGAACTTTAATTGTAGATTGAAAATAAAACTACTACACAGGCGGAGCTCGAACCGATTGAGCTACCGTGAGCAACACGTTATCGTCAAATTTTCAACAAATATATTGCGCGTGAGG